GATATGTGTAGGCAGAAACAGTGCCCATACCAACAAAACTATGAATACTTGAGGAAGAGCATTTACAAAGGACTCTGCATAATTCAAACCCTCCAAGACCTCAAGAACAGTGCTCCTTTGAATCAGCATCAGATCCCAGAAACATCCACTGGGGTATTAGAATAACTTGGAGATGCAACCACGATCTCATAAGGTCTTATTTACTAGACTTTTCAAGCCATTTTATTTGGCCATCTTTGGTTTCCTGTCAGGTGGCTCAAAAGGCAATAATCCATGGCTTATGAATTTCTATGAGCAAATGATGTGAAGTGAAATTGATGGGGAATCTGGCTCTAACTTCTCTTTCCAGACTAATTTCCCATTACTTTCCCTTATTTGTTCTATATTCCAACAGAATCAGTCTACTGGCTGCTGTAAATATCATTATGTCTCTAGCTACGTGCTTCTGATGGTGCCTGGAATGCTCCCCCCTTCCTCAGCTCAGCTTTCTGAAATTCCTAGTTTCCTTCACTGCTCAGGTCAAGTACCACTCCCTTTCCTGATTCTCTGATATATGAGTGCTCTCCCCCTTATTAACAATTTGTCTTTCTCATACATTTTCTATTTGCTCCTCTCTGTATATGCTTGCTGATCCTTCCTCCCTTTCCCCTGCAGGATGTAAACTCATTGAGGGCAAAGATTCTCTTTTTTTTCCCTTTGTATTATCAGCACCTAACAGTGGCTGTTGAATTGCTTGGACTGGATGAGTTCTTACATTTCAGCAAACATGGGAATATCCACCAAGACCCCTGGACCCACTCAGGACATGGGCTGCCATGAACCAAAGCAGGCACATCTAAGAGTCCTGCCCATTGTGGGATACTAAAACCAGGATCCCTCCCTAGTCATTTTAAAGTAAGCCCCCATTAGTCTGGATCTAACTAGCATTAAGATATCTCGTTTAAGATCAAGCTCTATCCATTTTCTTACCCGGCCTTTTCTATTCTCTTCATTCTACTTCATTTCTATGCACCATAGATTATACCATCAACAGAGTTTGACATATTAGAACAAACACTTCTTCATTTAGGAGTCCTGCAAGGTTATTTAATTACTATAATTGTTATAGATCTGTAGCTGAAAGGGACTTCAGAAATCATCTAGTCCAGCCCTTTCATTTTACAGATGAGGAAACTGAGGTCCAGAGAGATTGACTTGCCCAAGGTCAAACTGGTAGTAAATAGCAGGGCTCGCTGAGATTTGAACTCAAGTCCTGTGACTCCAGTTTTGGCATCCTTTCCAGTCCATTGCATCGTCTCACTTCAATGAGTAAGTACTCATCCACCTTTGGTGTCTACCTGTCATTCAACTCTTACCTGTGGATCCAAGAAGCTGTAGCATGGACAATGGCCACATCTCAGTAAAACCATCTCTGCAGATAAGCTAAACTAGTTTTAGGACAATTGACAGGCTTTAATCCTGTTGGTGAGTTAAGGTGATGTCTAACCCAAGCACGTGAAGACTTCCCCCAGCAGAATGAGCAAATGAGAACAATTTGTTCCAATGGCCATGAAAGTGGCTAAAGCAGGCCTTGTGGAGTGCTTAGAGCTTGGTCAGACACCAAAGACACCACCGTCATCCACTGCATCTCAGGACACTGCCAGATGTCTAGACTTTTGTCTTGCCACTGGACTTTGACGACTCTGGAAGTGACAGTGAGGCTAACAACTTTGTGCAACTCTGCCCCACTTAAATCTAATTCATGCACAAGTCAAGACATCATCTATCAACCACTATTTTATTCCAACACCATAATGTCACTAGTCCTCTTTGAAAATGAAGGACAGGGGGCAGCTAGGTGGTGCAGTGGATAGAGCACCGGCCCTGGAGTCAGGAGGACCTGAGTTCAAATCCGGACTCAGACATATAACATTTACTAGCTGTGTGACTCAGGGCAAGTCACCTAACCCCAACTGCCTCACACACACAAGAAAATAAAAAGAAAAGAAAAAAAAAGAAATGAGCTGCTATTTAATAGAGGCCTTGCATACTGGAAAGAGCTCTGCGAAGAGAGGTCTTAAAGTCTGTGCCAATATGCTTGGTAGGAAGCGGTGAGATGGTGGAGTCTGAGCAACCTGGACCACCATGAGTACACTGAGCAGGGGACTGGAAGGGTTCACGCTGAAAGGTGGAACAAAGGGGCACTGAAGTCAAAGTTTGACTATTTCATAGCTTTGTCCTAAGGCAGACATACGTTAATTGACTTGGCCAGAGTCATACAGGTAGTAAGTATCTGGGGTTGGATTCGAAATCAATCACAATACTTCTGCTATCCTTCTTTAGTTTTGAATTTTGAGACCTTGGGGACTGAGGCATTTGTGGAACTTGCCCTCTCTGCTAATCTGGCAGAATCCACATATGGTCTCTGCTCCATCAGAGAGAAGCCTTTAGAGATATTAGGTCAGGGATAGGTTTAAAAAAAGTGCAATGCTGTATACACAGCCCAGGTTCAATAAACGTCACTCCCTGACAGAGCCATGACTAGGACTATTTTAACCAGGGCAAAACAAATTGGGCAAACAAGGTAGGGTGGAAGCAAGAACATGGAGGGTAGTCTGACTGTGGATGCAGATGCACCTAAAGAAGGGTGCAACTCTCATCCATTCCAAGAGAGAGGAGGGTTATCATTGGGATAGAAGCTTGGGGATAGGGGAAGAGGCAGGTTATAGTTTTGGGATAATTGCACTACCCAGGAACATGGGCTAGTAGAGGATTATGAGGTAAAGTAACCTGGGGAAAGTTAGTTGGTATAGTAGATAGAGCGCCAGGCCTGGAGTCAGGAAGACTCATCTTCCTGAGTTCAAATCCTGCCTCAGAAACTTACTAGTTGTGTGACCCTGGCCAAGTCACTTAACTCTATTTGCCTCAGTTTCCTCATCTGTCAAATGAGCCGGAGAAAGAAATGGCAAACCCCTGCGGTACCTTTGCCAAGAAAAACCCCAAATGGGGTCATGAAGAGTCAAGAACAACTGAACAACAAACAACATTATTATTCGATAGGACATGGCCTTGGACCTGTGCTTTTCTTGACATAGAGAACTTTGAAGGGGAAGGAAATAAGCATTTACATAGCACTTATTATGTGTATTATGCTAAGTACTCTACACCTATTACACCATTTGATCCTCACAACAACCCTAACAGGTAGTTCAAGGCTCTTATGATCCCATTTTACAGTTGAGGAAAAACTGTGGTTAAGTGACTTGCCCAAAGTCACAGCTATTGAGTGTCTGAGGCTAGATTTGAACCCAGTTCTTAACAGCTTGAGATCAGCTCACCATGTGAAATGTCATGCTGACTCTATCTAGTTCTATAACCCCACGAGAAGGAAGACATAATTTCTGGGGTTGGAAGAGAGGGAGGGAAATTCACAATTCAAGAAAGGAATGAAGGAAGGGAAGGAATGAAGAGCTGTAGACGACTAGTGAATTGACCCAGTGAGGATCAGAGAGCCTTGACTATGACTCAGTCTTTGAAATGGACTGGAAGTCATGAAGGAAGGAAGTAATGTGGGCATTTTAGTTAGGAAGAGGGCTGAATTCATCTGAAAAGAACCATTTTCTGTGGGGCTCAGGAGATGTGGAAGCACCTCTCCTAGGGGATTTCCTCTATATGCCTCCAGGTTTTTGGCTGCCTTCCCAGGGGAAGGTAGTGTTTGCTGTGGGGAGCTTGTACACTACATATCCTTAGCTCTATGAGGACCACTGCCCATCCCCAGTGGGCTGGCACTGACAGTTTTCCTGAGTCTTATTCAGCTGTAAACAAAATGCTATTTACTTAAGCTCTAGGCTTCAAGCATCCTACAGGAATACAGTGAAATCATAGTTTGGGCAGAGGCATAATGAATGGGAACAGAATTCATAAAAGAGGATAGAACAACAGAAAAATTGAAGGAAGGTGAGAAATGGAAACAGCGATTGCTTTGCTTATATTTTTTATAGGTTCTGTACTTGTTGTTGGGGAGACCTGAGTTCAAATCCTGTCCTAGATATTTATTAGTTCTATGACCCCAGGCAAGTCACTTAATCTCTCTCAGCCTCAATTTTCTAGTCTGCAAAATGGGAATAATAACAGCACCCGCCTCACAAAAGTCGTTGTTGTGAGGACCAAATGAAATAGCTTAGGTAAGTTACTTTGCAAACCTTAAAGTGCAGTGTAAATGCTATCATCATCATCATCATCATCATCATCATCATCATCATCATCATCATCATCGCTGGAAGGAACCTTAAGGATCATTGAGTCCAAAACACCTTATTTTATAGATGATTTAGGGTCACTTAGATAATAAGTAACAGATGTAGGACCCAAACCCAGGTCCTCTGACTCCAAAGCCATTGGTGTTGCTACTTATACCTTGCAGCCTTTGCAGAGAATATTCAGACAGTCTATAAGGCTCATCATGACTGTGAGTGCCAGCTGGGTGCCCACCCAGATGTGAGTGTAAAAAGATAGAAAGATCACCAGATTCTAAGTCAGATCGGATTTGAGTAATCCCTTTCCCTCACTGACTAATTGAGTAGTCTTGGCCAACTCATTTCATTTCTTTGAACCTTACTTTATACACCTGTAAAATGGGGATAACAATAATCTCTGCCTCTCATAACTCATAGGATTGTTATGAGAAACAAAGGAGACTGGTAAAATGCTCTTTAAGTGTCAATTATTATTATTTGTCCTCTCCTCTGATTTAACAGATTTACACATCACCCTGGTCAACCACAGTAGAGCCTTTCAATTTAAACAGGATTCATTCAGTTTTACAGGATTCATTATTCATTCATTATTTAATAAAGGTCCCTAAATGACACCTCTGGGTTGACTCACATAACTGATCTCCAAAGACCACCAGTCACTTTGAACGGTTGAAGAAACAACCTCTGACCTCATCAATGACAAGAATCTCCAAATCAAGAAAGAACAGAAGAAATTCCTGTTATTTTTTGTTCTTTTTCTTCTAGACCCAGCCTGCCATAATGGATGGTATGTGTCAAGAAGACTTAAATTCAAATAGTACCTCCTACACTAGCTGTGTGACCCTAGGTAAGTAAAGTAACTGCCATGTGCCTTGGGCAACTCCCTAGGATTTCTCTGGTAATTCATAGACAGGATTGAGGTGTAGAGAGTTCCTAATGCTGAAAAGAATCACAGATCCTTCTTTTGTTATTTTTTAAAAGTACAGTAGTGTGCAAGCAATTGAAAATGATTCCTAAGTAGCAATATGGACATTCTGATAGCATCTGTCAAGGTATTTAATCAGGTCAATGGAATTCTCTCCCATTTTCACGTTAGGTAATAAGTAGCAAAAACTTTTGCACATCTGTTCAGACATAATAATGATAATACTACTAAAGGCACAGGGCTGTGAACACACGCTGCTTTTTAATCTCTCCCATATCCTTCTGTCTCTAACCTCATTCCATCTCCTTTGCCTCTTCTCTCTTCCTTCCTCACATCTTTCCTATTATTTTGACCAAAAATCATCCTTTCCAAATTCAATTTTTTCCTCTCTCCCTCCCACATCCCATCCTCTCTATATTCTCTCTATAATCAAATCAAAAAGAGCCTACGATATGCCTGAAGCTGTACTAAGCATGGGGGATACCCACAGAAAAGGCAAACAGTCCTTAGCCACAAGGGCCTGATATTCTAACACATGCATATTTAAGTGTATGCAGAATATTTACAAAATAAATTCAAGGAAATTTAGGCAAGGAGGACACTCCTAGCTAACGTAGGGGTATCATAATACTAGCTTGTCTCCCTGTGTGACTTTAATCTAGTCTCTGGGCTTCAGTTTCCTCCTTGTGTGTTGGAGGAAGAGTTTGGACTTAATGACCTATAAGATTCTAGAAGAATTCTAAGCTGTGCTAAGGCAGGAAAGGACAATTTCCACTACACTTTCTCTTAGGGAGCTAATTTGTGGTTTATTCAATTTCTTTTTCTAAGATAGGATCATTTAAGTGTTCTATTTCCTCTTCTGTTCATCTAGACAATTTATATTTTTACAAATATTCATCCATTTCACCTTCGATTGTCAGTTTTATTGACATACAGTTGAGCAAAATGATTCCTAACAATTGCTTTAATGTCATCTTCATTGGTTGTCATTCATCCTTTTTTATATTTTGATATTGGCAATTTGGTTTTCTTTTTTCTTTTTCTTAACAATTAAATTAGTCAATCATTTATCTGTTTTTTTTTCTATAAAACCAGCTCCCAGTTTTATTTACTAGTTCAATGTTTGTTTGTTTTTACTTTCAATATTATTAATCTCTCCTTTGATTTTCAGGATTTCTATTTTGGTGTTTAGTTGGGATTTTAAATTTGTTCTTTTTTTCTCATTTTTTTTCTATTCTAATTTCAATTCTTATTTTAATGCTCAGTTCAAGCCCTGAGCAACCTAGTAATGGTGGGGATCATCTTACCGGAGCTCTCAGGTTAATAGCTTTTTGAAGTACCTTAAGGCAGACCATAAACCAGATAGGGTTGAAACCAGGGGTTAACATTGCCTTATTCAGTTGAAGGCCAGTTGAACCAGAGATATTCAGAAAGAGACCTCAATTGTAAGGCAATAAGAAGTAAGCCTAAGGAGGGATGAAGAGCCATGAATGAAGGAATGAAAAAGCATTTATTATTTACTTATGTGTCAAGAACAGGGCTAAACTCTGGGGATATAAACATAAATATAAGACATTCCCTGCCCTCAAGGAGTTTGCATTTGAATTCAATAAACAGAACCAAGTAGGGAGTGGTGGCTAGGAAGTGATATTTTGATCTGGAAAGTTATAGGGATAAGGGTAGTCACAAAGGAGTACTAATAATGGCAGTATTGACTTACTGCAGGTTGCAGAAAAGAGGGGAAGGGGAAAGGGTAGCACGGGGAAGGGGGTTATGACTGGAGAGGAAGTGGTGGGAAATAAAGTGAGGCAAGGCTGGAGCCAGCCTAGTCTGATATGGTGGACCATATGAGGCTCCACTATATCATTCTACCATTCCAGAGAGAGAAGGCCCCAGGACAGGAATTCCAATGACCAAAAAGGTGGAGTTGTGAATTCATCCAGCCATTCTGGAAAACAATTTAGAAATATGATCAAAAAATTACCAAACTGTATACCCTTTGACCCTGCTATATCACTTCTAGGCCTAGACCCCAAAGACATCAAAGAAAGATGAAAAATATCTGAATACAAAAATATTTATGGCAGGGCTTTTCATAGTAGCCAAAAATTGGAAACTAAGGAGTTGTCTTCCTATCAGGGATTGGCTAGAACAAATTATGATATATGAACGTGATGGAATATTATTGTTGTAAGACATGACAAAATGGATAATTTCAGAAAAAACTGGGAAGATTAAAGTGAACAGAACCAAGAAAACAATTTATATGATGACAACATTGTAGAGAAAAACAACTCTGAAAGACTTTAGAAATCTGATCAATGCAATGATAAGCTATAAGTCCAGAGAACTAAAGATAAAGCACAACATTCATCTCCAGCCAAAGATATGATGGGACTTAAAATGCAGAGAAAGATGTATTTTGGTATGTGGCTAATGTGGGAATTTGTTTAGCTAGACTATGCACATTTATAGTGAGGGTACAATTTATCTTTTTTTTTTTTTATTCAATGGGGGAGTAGTGAGAGGAACATTATAAATACATGTAAAAAGAAATACATAAAATTTTTTAAAAGTGAGTTGACATTTCCTAGGCATAGTCTTTCCTGCTTCTTAAAAGGATCTGTTTGTCAGAAGAAGCATCAGACCCAGTGTCCTACGGAATATTTTGGGTGTGCTAGAGTTAGCTCTGAATGACTCATTATATTTTCACTGTGAGCATTTACACCTCAGAGATCACAAACGCTACAAATGAGGACTTGATTTACTATTCCGTTGATATGTGCATATATCTGGGGGAGCAGCTGGGTGGCACAGTGGATAGTGCTGAGCCTAGAGTCAGGAAGACTTGAATTCAAATTTGGTCTCAGATACTTACTAGCTGTGTGACCCTGGGCAAGTTACTTTACTCTGTTGGCCTCAGTTTCTTCATCTGTAAAATGAGCTAAAGAAGGAAATGGCAAACTGCTCTAGTATCTTTGTCAAGAAAACCCCAAATGGGTCATGAAGAGTCAGACACAACTAAAATGACTGAACAACAACAAATATATCTGGAAGGAAAGCTGGCTGTTAAACATTTATTATCATACCCCTAGCATAGCTAGAACAGTACAGATTCCCATTTTCTGGCAAGGTTGGCTCTGAGCGTTTCCATCTATAAATTGTTACATCCATCTATATAGCAGGAAAGTGGGAAATAGAGAGTACCTAACTATTTGCCCTCTCTTTGCAGAGCCAGGAGAATTTAAAAATGTCTTGAATTTACCAGAAAAAAAGAGGTAGAAAACATTTCCATGTATAAAGTAGAACATAAAGCGAGGAATATATGTGAAACCATGAGCCTCTGCTATGAACTTGCTTTAAAATAAAATATTTACAATCAATTCAGCCTGTTACTTTCAAAGCTTTCCTTCCTGTCTGTGTTTCCATGTAAATTTCCTTCTGTTCCCTTCTGTGCATTTTTAAAGATACTTTAATGACCCTCTCTTATTATTTTCTTCTTTTTTTTTTAGCAACTCTATCAAATAGCTCCCCCTCCCCAGCATCCCATTTTACTTTCCAGCTCTCCTTCCCCAAAAGAGAAAAACATAATCCCTATCATAAATAAGCATAGTCAAGCAGAACAAATCCTCACATTTGCCATGTTTAAAATATGACCCACTCCTAACCTATCCATTTTGGAGGTGGGAAGTTCACAGGTGTTTTCAGATTTTTTCAATGTATTTATCTGTTAGGCTGGAGTTGTTTCCTCTCTAAATAAATACTATTTGTCATATGGGATGGCTCTTTGGGGGAGGGGTGATACTTGGGATACTATGGTAATGTAAAAAAACAGAATACGAATAAAAACAATTTTAAAAATAAAAAAAATGTGTGTCTCATTCTGCACCTTGGATTCATCACCTCTTTGTCAGGAGTTTGTTCTTCTAGAGTTGTGGCTGCTCATTGCATTAAAGCTTTCTAAATTATTTTCTTTACAGTTGTTTCCCTGGTTTTGCAGAGATAGACATTTGAAGAAATATAAAGATAGTTATTTTTGTCATTACCTCGGATTCACATACTTTTTGCTCCAAAGGTACTCAAAAGAAATTATAAAACTCAAGGAAAAACATGACATCAATTCCTTTCCCTGCTCCTAAATGCCATGTCTTCTTTTTAGAGAAGACAGAGGAATCTGATGGAACTTCATTGAATCCCTCTTCACTGGGTCTCTCTAGCTACTTGTGAGATCTAAGCTTTGTGGTTTTCCTTCCCAAAGCCCCCATCCTTTTCCATCACAAAAACACATTCACAGGGTCAGTTGACATGCTGTTCTAGCTCCAAAATGAATGAGTGGGAAAGAAGTGTTATACAGTGGTCAGGGAGTCAGGAGTCCTTGTTTCCATTTCTTGGTCTGCCACTGAGTCACTTTGGGACATTTTTAATGTGATTTCATGTTTCTGTATGTATTTCCCTACCTAGTAATTCAGAACAGTCTTGGGAAACAAAGGGCAATTAGGTGTCTCAGTGGATAGAATGCTGGGCCTGGAGTCAGTGAGACTCATCTTCCTGAGTTCAAAACCAGCCTCAGACACTAGCTGTGTGCCCCTAAGCAAGTCACTTTACCTTGTTTGCCTCAGTTTCCTCATCTGTAAAATGAGCTGGAGAAGGAAATGGGAAACAACTCACTCCAGCGTCTCTGCCAAGAAAAACCCAAATAGGGTCACGAAGAGTTGGACACGACTAAACAACAACAACTTGGGAAGCAGTGTGGAATGGTAGAAAGAACACTGGTTTGGAAGTGAAGTAGCCCGAGAATCCCTGTTCTGCTAATGGAGGTGTATCTTTGGGCAAGTAAATAGCAGAAAGAACACTGGATATGGAGTCAGGGGACCTGGCTCTAAGTCACAACTCTGATATTTGCTCACCTGTCTAGGACTTAG